AGATAGATAGATAGATAGATAGATAGATAGATAGATAGATAGATAGAAATATAGATAGATAGAAATATAGAAATATAGAAATATAGATAGATAGATAGATAGATAGATAGATAAAGATATTTTTCAAATATGAAAATGAATTTTCTTCACTTTATGTCCTTTCACATCCCACCCCTTTCTTTCTGTCTAATTATCATCTCTGGTAGTAAAGCTTCAACTTTATATTCCAACAAAGGTTTGCAGATGGGGTTGAAATTCAATCTGAACAAAATAAAGGAATCTGTGTTCAGTAGAGCTACTTCCTAAATCTGAAAAATGCAGGATCATTTTCTTTGAAATCTCTGCCTGTGGGTGTATGATGCCTGCTCATGAATAATTTACTAGACCTTTGTGCCACTGCATCTTCTGGAAAGTATAGCATGAAATCATACTATATGCCACTGTCCCCCATCCTTTAGGAATTACACGGAGACACAGAAAACAGGTTCTGTAGCTCATGTGAAAAAGGGAAGCTTCACTGAATGCGCTTAGAAATGCATCTCATTAGAACAAGTGATGATTAATCATATATTCAAGTACATCTAAAAGCATAGTTCCTTACATCTGCTATTGTATCAGAGCTTTCCTGGAAGTAGGCATCAAACAGAAAACAAGAACAGGCAGGAAGCTTGAATCAATACAAGTAGTCTTCGACTTAAGATCACAATTTGAGTCCAACATTTCTGTTGCTAAGCGAGACAGGTGTTAAGTGACTTTGCTTGTCAGATCGCAAAAGGTGAATCACATGACCCACATGACACTCAGTCCTCATTAGATTTGAACCAGTTGCCAAGCGTGAATTTTGATAATCTGACTGTGAGGATTCTGCAACAGTGATAAGTGTGAAAGCGGTCATAATCCCTTTTTTCAGCCCTGTTGTAACTTTGAATGGTCACTAAATGAATGGTTGTAAATTGAGGACTACCTGCACTGTCCACAGCCTGACACACTTCTAACTATCCATGTCTTCTGAATCAGCTACAGCTTCCAATGTAGAACACATTGCAATAGTCCACATATGAGGTGACTGAGGGTTGAGCAATTTTATTTTCTCCACTTTCTATCTTCTCTTTTCATTCTTTTCTAATTTTTATGTTGTATGAGGTTTTTTTTTAATCTTTCTCATTGTAAACTTTAATAAAAAAAGATCAGCTTCATCTGCATCCACTAGGCCTTGGCACTGCATGCAACGTTGGCCACTCCTCCAGAATAAGATCATAGATGAGAGAAACTCTATTACAGACCAATCGTGGTATTCAGAAGCAACAGTGAGAGGTCAAAGCTTCTGAGGATACGGAGATTTGGTACTGGAGCTGAAAAGTGGAAGTGATTTTAAGAATTGATTGCTTTCCCATGAATGGCCCACTTCCAGATTCCATCTGTATTTTTCTTCTGCTTCTTCTGTGAGTGGCACAGGTTGGGTGGCATAGATTGAGTGGCTACTGCTGCATGAGTGGCAGTATGTAGTCCTTCATGGCATAAGGCCTAGCTATCTTCATGGCCTAAAGCCTGGCTATCTGAGTATCCTTGTTTCTCCACCTTTCTCATCCAAAATGATATGACAGAAACCTGGTCCCAACAGGATGTAGAACTGTATTTTCCCTGTCATAATGCATGTTCTCTAGTCTAGAACAGTGTTTTTCAACCTTGGGTACTTTAAGATGTCTGGACTTCAACTACCAGAATTAAAGTTGCCAAGGTTGAGAAAACACTTCTCTAGAAGGATATTATCACCCTGGAAGTTTGAGTGATCCTATCCTTACTGGGACAAGCCTTGACAGACAAGGTCTTTTCTTAGACAGCCAGTTCAGGAATCACATGCCTTCTGAGGGAATTGCACGAATATGTTACCTGTGTTGGTTCCCAGGTGACTATCTTCTTTATAGGATGGGTGATCTTATAAATGTGATAAATATAGGAAGATCTTATGACCAAGGGCAGTGGAAATGTCTTCTTGGTTCCTGAGTATAGGAACTAGGGCTGGTCAACTCTTCAAAAGGGAGGAGGCTTTAGCTTCAAAATAGTTTTGAGCACACATCCTCTCCAAGCTGCTTCCTCAAGCAATGCAGCCCCTTTCTTTCTAAGAGTAAAGCAGTGTGGGAGAAGGCTGAAGGGGAAGTCTTCTCCTGCAGTCCTGGCTGAGATGGTTCCAGGTTGGGTGGCTTTGCCAAACAGGGCAGAAATTAGACCGGTATGATGCATCTGAGAGTCTTCAGTTGACTCTTGAGAAAGAAGGCTGACAGGACTCTTTTCCAACAGCTCTGGACCCAACCTGTTCAAAGGTGTCTTTTTCAGGGTTTGCTTTGTTAAGACCTTCTCTTCAAAGGAGAGTCCTCAACTTACAACAGTCCATTCAAAGTTACAATGGCATTAAAAAAAAAAAGTGACTGATAACTGCTTTTCACACTTATGACCACTGCAGCATCCCCATGGTCATGTGATCAAGATTCAGATGCTTGGCAACTGGCTCACATTTATGACGGTTGCAGTGTCCCGGGGTCATGTGATCAACCTTTTGTGACCTTCTGACAAGCAAAGTCAATGGGGAAGCCAGATTTAAGAACAATATTATTAACTTCATAAGTGATTCACTTAACAACCATGGCAAGAAAGTAAATGGGGCAAAACTCACTTAACAAACATCTTACTGAGTAACAGAAATTTTGGGGCTCAATTGCGGCCATAAGTCAAGGACTACCTGTATCCTGTTGCCTTAACCTGCAAGATGAATCTAAAACAGTTTGCATAGGTCCAATAGGAGCTATGCATGTATATTCTTTCTTTCCCAAATTGAGAGCACAAAGCCATCATCAGTCTTTCTCCCTCCCTGTATCTGACAGTGAAAAATAATTTGTTTTCCCTCCTTCAAGTCACTGTCATGCGTGATGAAATATACCTACTGCCAGAAAAATAGATTTCTTGTGTTGCTTGCAAAAAATCCAGAATGTCATCTACTTTATCTGCAACTTCAAACTCTCTTTCTTTCTTTTCTTCGGGCATATATGTGAAATCGGTAGCAACGGGTTTTCCTAGCAAGCCAGCTGCTCTCATTTTTTCCTTTCGCCGCTTCTTTTTCATTTTCCTCTTTTGGTTTTGGGTCAAGTTTGGAGAATCCCTGGGTTGCAGTTGCAAGTTATCTCCAATCGGGTGTTCAAGCCCTCCACATTTTGCTGGACTTCCATGTCCATCAGCAGGAGTTTGAAAAATGTTCCTTCGTTTTTTCCTCCGACGCTTTCTTGGATGTTGCTCTTTATCATTCTCCTCTGTGCATTGAAAGAAAAACACAACAGACTGTAAATATATAATAGGGGGTATGGAGCAATTTGGCTATCTGAATGAAAACACCCCTTTTCTCTAAGATGGTGATGCTTATCTCAGATTGGGAGAGGGGAAAGAGAGAGAGGGTGGGGGAGGGAGTGAATTCATTTTGATTACAAGTACAGGTAGTCCTTGACTTACAATAGTTCATTTAGTGACCGTTCAAAGTTACAATGGCACTGAAAAAAAGTGAGCTATGGTCATTTTCACACTTACGACAGCTGAAGCATCCTCATGGTCACGTGATCAAAATTCAGATGCTTGGCAACTAACTCATATTTATGATGGTTGCCGCCTCCTGGGATCACCTTTTGTGACCTTCCAGCAGGCAAAGCCAATGGAGTGGCAAGATCCACTTAACACCTGCAGTGATTCACTTAACAACTGTGGGCAGAGAGGTCATAAAATAGGGCAAAATTAACTTAACAAACATCTCACTTAGCAACAAAAAAATTGGGCTTAATCGTGGTCATAAGTTGAGGATTACCTGTACTTTTATTCTTTATTTACCATAATATATTCTCATCATTAATGAGTGGCATGAACACACACTCTCTCTCTGTCTCTGTCTCTCTCACACACACACACGCGCACACACACACACACACACAGAAGACAAATTGGTATTATGGTGTAAGTTTTGATATGCGGGGGCTGGCCGACACAAAGGAGAGAATGAAGTGAGATGAGCACAAATGCTGGGTATTACTATTTGGTTTGGATAGGAATAAGGGCCTCTTCATTTGGGTCAGAAGCACCTACAAATTATAAACATATATTCAACACTGAGCGAATAAAATAGACATAAAATAGGTCATAGAAATTTAGCACATGTAAAAAATATGTAAATATTTAACACTTAAATAAATATTTAAAACTAAGTGTCATTTAGTTTTAATCCTATTAAATTATTAGGATTGAAATGAAATGACATTCGCCCTGGATCGGGTCATGTCGACAGTGTTTTCTCTTGCCAGCATGAGGTCTTTCTCCATATATGTTGAAGGACTTTGTAGCATGTGTGAGATGGATTATACTTCTCCCCACGTACTTTCCACACAGAGTGTCTTCTATAGGGAACCCCCATATGAGGATGAGAGCTAAAGGGCTAAGACACAACTTTACGAAAGTGGAAGAATTGGAAGGAATGATTGTGGTAACACCAATTTTATTTATCTTCCACTTAATTAAGCAAATTACAGCTTAGAAGAATGTATGTAAGAAGCTTCAAGGTCAACTTAAATAATTTCCAATTAAATAGTAGGTAACATGGGAGATCCCTCAGATGATTATTTATAAGGTGTCTTGCTATGTCCTCTAATAAAAATCTATAAGGAAGTATACTTATATTCCATGTTCTCTGACATACCCATATCCCTGCAGATACATGACAAGACTCTATTTTCAGCTAATGCCAACAAGAATGACAATATTGTTTTACATACTCATCTTATTCTACTGCTGAGTTGATTATTAATATTGTATTGTTTTTATCAGCTGGCACTAGCTTTGTCTTAACTTTATTATAACTCTTTGCTAGTGTACCATGTTTCACATTTTTAATTCACCTCTGCAGTGCCCAGAAGATGCCCTTCACTGAGAGGTCTAACAAGCAGAATTAATATGCACATACATCTACTGAGCAGCCAGTGATAAAAAACATGCGAGAAAATCTATGTTTTTGGTTTCTAAATGCTTTATTTTTGCTACCGTGTTTCTCAGAAAATAAGGCCGGGACTTATTTTCTTTTGAGCCCCCCCCCAAAAAAACGGCTAGGCCGTCTTTTCAGGAGTGAATTAATTTCTCCCCCCCTTGCACCCTTGCCTAGAGCTCCCCACGGGCAGCCATGCCTTGCTACCAGCTGCTCCTAACAGCTGATCATGGCAGAGCACGGAGGGCACCCTACCCCCACCAAGCGCCTTTGCTGCAGACCCGGGTATGGTGTTGGTTGCAGGCCGGATCAGTGGGCAGGCGTCGTCGTTGTGGATGTCGGCCTCAGCAGGGCACTTTAAATCGCAGGGCACTTTAAATTGTGAGACCTTCGGCACACACCGCTGTTGCTTTCCCTTTGCATTCCTCCACTGGCAGCATTTCAGCCGCTTTTCGGGCGGGGGAGCCGCCTCTGTAGCTTCCATGATTCCCGCTGGCAACAGAACAGTGGTAGCACCAGCGAGAATCATGGAAGCTACAGAGGCGGCTCCCCCACCCAAGAAGTGGCTGAAACCCTGCCGGTGGAGGAATGCGAAGGGAAAGCAACAGCGGTGGAAGAAGTGGGCGCCGAAAGTCTTACGATTTAAAGTGCCCTGCCGAGGCCGACATCCACGCCACCACAGCCCACCCGCTGACCCGGCCTGCAACCAGCACCATACCTGGGTCTGTAGCAAAGGCATTTGGCGGGGGTAGGGAGCCCTCCGCGCTCTGCCATGGCGAGGCGTGGCTGCCTGCGGGGCACTCCTAATGGCAAGTTCTCCCCCCTGCCCTCCCCCCATTTGGCATGTTTTAAAATAAGCCTAAATTTGGGGGGAGGGGCTTAATTTCATTTTATGCCTACAAAACATGCTGGGTCTTCCTATTGGGGGGCATATTGTTGGAGAAACATGGTAGTTTGGCTTCTGGCACCCAATATTCATCCGGTGCCTCAGCTAGAATTCATTCCCAGCCTTTATACTAATAAATTTGCTCTAAATATGAGAACTGCAATTTCATTTTTGTAACCTCTTCATTCTTGGGCTTTGTTAACTCTGAAACACTTCCTCTCTCTTTTCATAATATCGGCTCCAAGTTCTTTAATTGACAGATGAGTGACTCACTGCAAAGCAGTTCTGATCCCTTCAAAGAAGGGGGAATAAAAACCCATTTGCAATTCAATGCTGCAGCACAAAAAAGACTGAAATAATTTGCACTACAAACCTATACCGAATTAGCGTTTTACCTGTATGACAAATGAAACAAACATCTCCCGGGAGAATACAGACAGATGAGAGGAAGAACAAATGACAAATACATTCCAACTCTGCATAAAATGGTACAGATGTTAAGGTATCATTGCTTAAGCTCCCTTTTTAAAGAAAAAAAATGTAAAGAGATCTGATGCTTTGAGCAAAGAGGGGTTGTAAGCTTTTTCTATGCTGATAGAAAAATCATAATCCTACACATGCTTATCTGGGAAGAGGTCCAAGAGAAACTCACTCATTAGTTAAAGAAACATTGCAACCTGTGTTCAAAAACCAAAGAAAACATTTGTGCCTGACTGAATTAGTTGTATAAAGCACCTAATGGAAGTTTTCTTTCTTAGTAGTATTCTCAACAACAATAATAGAAATAATTTATAAACAGGAATACATGAAGGGTTTCTGTAGGAAGTATATCCAACCTCTTATGTATTTATAGCTCTTTCTTTCTATTACAGAATTTTTAGTAATGCACTGTAAGAATTCTCCAATATTTTACCACCCAACTTAGGGGGTCAAATTAGGCCTTCATTTTAGCAAAACGGTTATACCATGTGTCCTCTGGCTGTGTCCTGCATAGGAGTAAGGTAACAGCTACTCTATTCTCTGGTTTGTTCATCTTCGTGGGCATATTGCTTGCAAGAACCTAGAGCAGAAGTTTGATCTTGAAGGAAACAGTATACCAGAGCTCTAGCTGTTTACCAACATTAGATATTCAGTATCTTTAATATATGGTTGCAAAGGAGTGGATTGCTAAAAAAAAAAGACAATTCTTAGACTAAACAAGAGTTCTTTATGAACAACTGTGGTGTTACGAATCATAACTATGCAATTAGGCTTGATCATAGGTCTTCAGCGACTGAAAATAATTAGTCCAGTGTTTATATCTGTGTGATGGAAAACTTACAGCAATCAGACAATTATCTCCAAGTAAGCATGAACACAGAAGGTGGCTGCTTAAAGACCATTAGCTATAATTCTTCTCACCAAGCTGCCACCCTGCGACAAGAATGGCTGACTGACTGTCATTTTGCACATTTTAGAGGGATGGAGGAAGGTTGCAGTTGTGCTAAAATATAGCAATAATGACCATTCTTTTACTGGGATCATTAGCATTGCAACTGATTTTCAGGAAGCTATTGATAAGTCAGCTCTAACACCAAGACAGAGGCATTTTAGCTGTGACCTAATATTAGTGTAGTCATGCAGCTGAAAAAAAAAACCATACTCATATGTATACTTCTATAAGCACTACATTTCTGAATCACCTGTTGCTTAAATGTATCATTAGCAACATTTTCCACCAAATAAATCAACTTAAAGTAAGAAAAAAAACTTTCAATAAGTTAAATAGTTTTAAAATCCACCAAAACCAATATTAACTAAAAGCCTGACTACTGACATCTACTTTTAAAGCTTCCTCCAAGCAATTAAAAGACTCAACAATTATTCTAAATCTAAGGGCTCATTAAAGTGAAGGGCTAACCTTGAATTTCTGCTAGGAGAATCAGCAACTGTTGCAACATTTCTTCAATAGACTAGGCCTGAAGTGTCCAGGGCTTTAAATAACCATCAGCTATTTGAAGTTGATTTAATTTTTTTGTAAGTGCTTATTTCCTAACCAGGAAAACTAACTGGTAGCCTTTGAATCAATCAGGCAATCAAATTTTAAGTCCATAGTTATATATTTATTTCTATAACTTCTCCAGTCAAATTCAAGCACAACAGGTTAAGTCTGCCAGTAGCAACAGCACTTCGATTTATATACCACTTCACAGTGCTTTACTGCCCTCTCTAAGCAGTTTACAGAGTCAGTCTATTGCCCCCAACCATCCAGATCTTCATTTTACCAACCTTGGAAGGATGGAAAGCTAAGTCAACCTTGAGCTGGTCAGGACTGAACTGTTGGCAGTTGTAGGCAGAATTAGCCTACAATAATGTATTCTAAACACTGTGCCACCATGGCTCCAACCTTCAAATTACTGGTAAATGTG